TTCTCCGCAAAGAATGTGAAAGGTAGGGACGTTCTGCACCAAAAAACGAAAGGCAGGGACGTTCTCCACAACAACCGTCAAAGGTAGAGACGTTTTGCGCCATTTACCCTTTTTAGTATTTAAAATAACATTTCATTTTTTAAAGGGTACTATGCTAGGTTGGGTCAGGGTAGGCAAGGATACGAGGCTTTAGAGAATTTCTAGTATTCTTGGTTAGTCCCTATTTGGTTAGGATTAAAATCAAATTTTTTAGTAAGTTTTAATAAAAGTTGATGAAAAATGTGGTTGAAAAATTGTGAGTCCCATAAAATGTATTGTTAAAATTAATTATTGACTTTGATTTAGATTAAATTCTGAATTTTAATCGTTACACAGGGCAAGTTAGTATTTTTAACTACAAAACATTGAGTAGAAATCCATTCAATAAGTCAATAAAATAAACATGTACAATGAACTTATCAGTAACTATATATTTAGGATTAATAAATAATAAAAAAATGTGTAGTTAATAATATGAATTTGGACAAATTACAGTGCAGAATTTGATAGCGTAGATGCCGCATTTGCAAGTGGCACATCCGACACCTTGTTTAGATATTTTTAAAGTATATTATATTACAAAATGGAGATTGAACACAGAACAATCCATTTGGCCACTAAATGTGGTGGTGAAGAGGTCAATGCTAATGAGGCGATGTCATTGCTGAAGTCAGTTGACAACCTACGTGTGAACGAGATGTTTCATCTTCAAATGCTAAGTGCATAGGTTTTGCACCATTATAGGTTCAAACTTGTTCCACTTATCTAATATTTTGACCGGATTTCAGTGGACCGGCGAGCCGGAAACAGTAGGAAATTAGGAATTAGTACTATTTCATGTTAGACTTGAGAAAAGTACTTTTCTCATTCATGTATATCTAGATAAGAATATTAGTTCATTTTATGGAATATGATATGTGTACGCATTTATATACGTGCACTTTTCAACCTCTTTAAATGACCAAAATATAAATCTAATACGATATAGTTTATGTCTTTTCAAAAGCTAACGTCCAACTCAACTCTGAATTTTATTTCACTCTAACATGCAATACTAGTTTCATAATCGTTTTTGGGTAATATACAGATGGGTCTTCTTCGTCCTTTAATAAATACAATATGCTTACGCATGCTATTCACCTAGTCCATGCACATCGCTCTTTTCAAGAAGTTGTCTTCCCATTTTCAAGAAAATTCACGGCTCGATTTGATTTAGTATCAAGGTTATGAAATAATATCATCGAAACGTTTTAATATTCAACCAGTCTATAAAAACATAAAAAGAACTTCGACTTCGACTTTCACTAAGGTTTAGTTGTGCTTAAACTACCTACCTCTCCCTTGATGAGGAAAGGTGACTTTGTTAGGTATTGGATTACGTCAAGTTTAAATCTATGAGCAGAATTGTAGCTTTATTGTTGCATCCTTATCATACAATTCATCATTGCAAAGATTTTATAAATGCCTTGTTCTTGCCTCGTCACCTAAAGAATTGGTTGAACCTAAACTAAAGCCACTAAATTTCATCGACAAAATCAAGACTTTTTCAAGAATACTAATAATTTGCAGGTTGACTTAAGTTTCAAGTTGCCGACAAAACTTTTCTAATTAAACAATATTAAAAAATTGACCCTCCAACTCCTCACACGAAGTCTTCTAGGCTCACACCTAAAGTATGATTCATGGAATAAGTTTGCACGGAAAGTGTAAACATAGAAAAAGTTGACTTTATCGAAAGTCAACTTGTTCTTCGCTTTACCAACCTGTTTAGAAGAAAATCTAGAAGGAACTCCTAACGACTAATATGAAATTGATAATTTTCTTTTTGAACAATTTCAACCTTTAGACAGGCTAGTTCAATGTAATATGAAAACATTCAAAGATCGTTTTTCAATTATGAAAATTCCACAAGTGCGCCCTCAGGTAAAAATATAAAAAAAAGTAAAGAATTTCTATCGTGCTTATCGATTTAAACTTTTAGTACTTGGTAAGACGCTGGATGGTAATATGAATTAGAAGGGGAAAAAGAGGATAGCCTGTACCAAAAATCGGGAAGATAGTTTTACTGATAATGTTTCAAAATCAAGAATTCTTGATACATACACATCTTTAATACTTTCATAGTTAAGAATATCAATAATGCTAATGTCATAATCTGTAATGGCAATTGAGATTAGAAATTCCTCTTCACTAACAGTCATAAATACAAAAGATTCTGCATTAAAAATCAATTCTTCATCATAATCTTGAATGAAACTGCAGCTGTTCTCTTGAAGTTCAAGATTTTCTTCAAAGTCAATTCTCCTGACTGTAATCCAGTCTTCTTCCTCTGCCCAATTTGGTAAATTTGAAGCATCTCTTATCAAACAGCTGATTCTATCTGCCGGAGAGTAAGAAGATGAAGCGAGCACGGGCTGATTCCTGAAAGAATATTCCGGGGTCTCAAATGAATCCCAAAAGCCTTGATCCAATACACTGGTCGGAGATTCCCTTTTGAATTCCCAACAATTATTTACAAATCCATGGAAAAGTGAGTGTTCAAGAAGTTCTTTCGCTGTCCACCGGAGTTTTGCATCTCGTATTAAGCACTTGCTTAAGAAGTCCTTAGTCTTATTAGACAACCACCTTGGAAATTCCGGTACCTCACCGGAACATCCAATCTTGTACATAGCTGATATCGGATCATGAATTTCCGACCATGGAGTGCATCCGGTGGCCATTTCGATAACTGTGCATCCCAGAGCCCAAATATCAGCCGGGAATCCTTGTTCTTCACCACGGGCAACCTCTGGTGCCATGTACGCCGGTGTGCCAGAAAATCTTGATTTTCCGGCAATGGCATCGTTATCTTCTTGTATCAATTTAGCACAACCAAAATCTGCAATTTTGAGACCATCTTTTCCAATCAAAATATTCTGACCCTTGATGTCTCCATGCACTACTCCACTCAGATGAAGATAATCCAATCCTCGGATCATTTGATGTGCATAGAATTGAATCATAGACTCATCCAACGAACCCCCCTGCTTTCTGACTTCATCGGATAATGCTCCGCCGGGAACATACTCTAAAAAAAGATTATAAATAGGTTTATTTTCTTCCTCACAAGTAATTTGAGAACCTAAACACCTGATAACACAAGGAGAGCTGAGTTGTGAAATTATAGACTGCTCTTTTTGCAAAAAGCTAGAAGAAGAAAGTTCGGTGGACTTGACGGCGAAAAGATCGCCGGTGGAAGTGGTGGCGACGGAGACTGTGGCGGAGGAGCCCCTGCCTATGATGGGACCTCGTGTCCATTCCATTAGAGAGAACAAAAAATTGTGAAGGTAGAAGCAGAGTAGGTTGTGTTGGCCTAATTCCTTTGTTTGAGTGTAGCGAAATATATATACATCCCTTATATGTCATATGTGACGTCACGATGCCGTACATTCTTTTTTCCTGTACGTGAGACACGTGGAGGGAGACAAAGTGGGAGGTTAACAACTTGCCGACTACGGGGTAGCGAAGGAATAAAGACATACGGGACACGTGAACACTTGCCACGCCTATCGGTAGTGTTGGGTGGGTTTTCCTCTAGAATTTCACATGCCGGCACGTTTGGGATTGGAAACAACGATTTTCTGATATGATTCATGTACGGTTTATGTCACTCATCATAAGGAATTATCACATGCAGTAACAAAAGAAACGGTGTCAGAAGATGTTTAGATGGAAGAACTGACTCTATTTTAATAATATCACGTGATATTATGTCAATTTTTCTGTCAAATTTTTTGATACTATTAGAATTTGGGCGTGACTCAATTTTCTTATTGAAGTAATTGAAAATTTTTAATTGAAGTGCACATCAAGAAAAATTCAGTTCACTTCAATTAGAATTTAGTTTAGAATGCTATTGAAATCCTATGTCAAATTGAAGTTTTATTTTGGAAGTCCATTGAGGGTTGTAATCTGTTTTGGACTTTATTTTTTGGTATCCTACTTCATCAACAACTCTACTATGAGAGTTTGGACATCCCCTACATATTTCCTATAAATATTAGGTTCTTCTATACAATTTTATAGTGTGAGAAAATAGATTACTAAAATTATAGAATCCATTGTAATTCTCTCTCTTTTCCATTATTCTTGAGTCAATAAAATCTCTTAATTCTTCTACCGTATTTTTATCTTTTTTATTCTTTTGATTGATCAAATACATTATTGTTATTTGTCATATAACTTTAACATTTCAATCCGGTGGTTTGCTCTACAACAATTGGTATCAGAGAAATCTTGGTATTTTGGTTGTTTTGCAACATTTGGTATTAGAGCGCCAGTTCAGCAGTTCCGCAAGAGCACAATGATTGATTTGTTCGATATTTTTTATTCGTGACGATTTCCAAGAAGTATGACATACTGCTTGTAGATCGGAGCACTAGATTTTCACTATGGTAGGTTAGGATGCGTGCAATACTCGCACAGCTGGATTTGGATGACGCATTGCTGGAAATGACAGGATGCCCGCAGCTTTGACCGCGGTGGAAAAATTACGGAAGTATAAGAAGGGAGTTTCTCACATTCATCTTCATCTATCAAATACTATTTTTCTGGACGTTTTGAAGGAGAATTCAGCAACTGCTTATGGTTGAGGTTGGAGCGATTATGCATGACTAAAAGTCTGACAAGTAAGTTGAACTTCAAATAACATTTATACTCTCATCGAATGGCAAAAGGAAGATCATTGGAAGATCACCTGACTGTATTTAAAGAGACCGTCGTTGATTTGGAAACTTTGGAAGTAGAGTATGATGAAAAAGATTTGGTCTTGATCCTATTGTATTCGTTGCCCACTTCATTTTCTTCATTTAGAGACGAGATCTTATGTAGTCATGATACTCTCACCATAGAGGAAGTGTATGATAATTTGTATTCAAAAGAGAAGAAAAACCTTCTGATTTTTGAGGTCAGAGATGGAGAAGATCTAGTTGCTCATGGTGGTTCTGGAAGGGACATATCGAAATCTAAATTCAGTAATCAAATTTGTAATTACTGCAAGAAGAATGTGCACTTAAAGAAGGATTGCTACAAATTGCATAATAAAGAAATGATGGCTGCAAATAGATATTCAGATACTTCAGGCGAAGCAGACCTCACGGAGAACGTGTAAGTGATAGAGATCTCTTAACTATTTCTAACATTGAGTTTAAATCGGAAGATGATTGGATTCTTGATCCAACATGTGTGTTTCATATATGTCCTAATAAGGACTTGTTTGTTACATATGAAACTGTTTCCAAATGTGTCGTGATTATGGGAAACAACGCATCTTGTTGAGTTGCTAGAATTGGTAAGCCAGATTGAAACTTTTGGATGGAACAATTAGAATACTTGGCCAGGTTCGACATGTTCCAGATTTGAAGAAAAATCTCATCTCGTTGTCTATCCTTGATTCAAAAGGTTATGAATTTTTTGGTGGAGATGAAGATTTGAATTTGTAAGGGTGCACAAGTTGTATTGGAGGGATAGAAAATGTCTCAGTTATACATCTTGCAAAGGCGTGCAGAATATAGAAGAGTCAATCAACATAAGTTCAATACCGTGGTGAACATTTAGTTTGGTACAATACCTTTAGGAGCTCATAAATGGTCAGATTTAAAGAATACAGTTCAGTGAAGTTCAGGAGATATGAATAATGCCGCTTTGTCACCATTACCTGCGTTGCCATTGTATTCAATTGTTAGAGACAGACCCAGTGAAAAAGGATATGTGGATACTGATTTTGTTGAGTATGCTTTAAGTGGACTAGAAGATGTACAATCTAACAAGGGGCATTCTTTAAAAGCATTTGTGTTTGATTCTGCTTTGGGGTGTGTTACAACCCATTTGATTAATTTAAAATCATTATGATTTTTTTTGAATCTAAGGTAATTCTGTAGAGTGGTGCTTGGATTCATTGGAAGAGGTGGAGTATTTTGTGTTTGGTTGGAGAAATTAATTTTTTTTATTGTTGAAAAAGTCAGTTCATTTCTTGGTGGAATTCGTGTCAAGTTGGATATTATTAGAATTTGGGTGTGACTCGAATTCCTTATTGAAGTAATTGAAGAATTTTAATTGAAGTACACATCAAGAAGAATTCAGTTTGGAATGCTATTGGAGTTCAATGTCAAGTTGAAATTTTATTTTGGTCTCGATTTTTTGGTATCCTACTTTATCAACAACTTTACTAGGAGGGTTTGGACATCCCCTACATGTTTCTCATAAATACTAGGTTCTTTTATACAATTTTATAGTGCGAGAAAATAGATTACTAGAATTATAGGATCCATTGTAATTTTCTCTCTTCTCCATTATTTTTGAGTCAATAAAATCTTTTAATTTCTCTACCATATTCTTGTCTTCTTTATCCTTTTGCTTGATCAAACACTTTATTATTATTTGCAATATAACTTCAAAATCTCAATCTGATGGTTTGTTCCACAACAATTGGTATCAAAGAAATCCTGATATCTTGGTTGTTTTGCAACAAACACTATAGCGTAATTCTTCACGTACAGCTATGACAATGGAAGGACATTGTTAGACTAGGAAATTGCTTGGAAGTTCGTACAGTTTTCATAGGAAAAATAGAATAATCCAAATCTATATGTTCACAATGGGCACACAGGACAAAGGTATAGGATTCGTTTTGTTCACATTGTAATCAATTTAACTTGCTTGCCGCCAACATTAATGTAGTTGTTCGAAGCTATCCATGATGCCTAATTCCATGATACTTTTGATTCAACAATGGAAAATGTTAGTACCTAATTCCATAATGCTTTTAACTTCCCCAAACCGATCTTTATTTAAAATGAAAGAGTAGGGTAAAACCCAGGGATGGAGTTCTAACGTTTAAGTAAAGGCACTGAATGCAGTAACAAATAGGCGGCAGATAGTTTAAATGAAAGTCACTAACATGATAGGTGCGCTTTGGAACCTCAAACCATCATTACCAACCCAAAACACTTATAATTCTACTCACTATTTTGATTTCAAAAAGTGACTTTGTACGTTAATAGAATTAAAGATGGAGCAAAATTCTTTTAAAAATATTATTCATCACTAAAATAAGTGACAATCACTTGTCTAGATAGCAGTGAGTCATTGATTCTTTGTCGGTGCCCTAATTCACTGTGAATGCATTAAAATATATCACAACTTTATTGGACAATGAGTGAGAGATCTCACCGCTATCTAGATTGATGATTATCGCCATTGCCAACCAATATACGAATGATACCCCACTTCCTAAATGTTCACGGAAGATGATGGATAATGGCATGGAGATTTGAACCCTTAGATTTGGAAGGGGGCTACATAAAAATATGATTGTGCATCCATAATGGTGATAATTAGCATTATTCAAAATCTGACGATTGTGTGGCACATATATTAATGCAAGCTGAATGTACATTTATAATATCAAATTGAATAGGGTGATAGATTAACATTTTACATATCCCCCTTTTTTGTTATTTTATTCAATCTTTAATTCATCGTACGAAACCGACTTCGTTATCTTTCACTTGATAACATATTATGTCAATGAGCCTCAACCATCCATAAAGTAGATTCTAATATTCAAAAGCTCAAATGGTGGGGGGCTATCATGGAGGGGCGGTGATACTGTTGAGGATTTTGAATGTGTAGGCGGCAAGCAAAGACAAAGCCAGTGATTGAAGGTGACAACAATTGGTGAGCCAATGCAATCTTATTCGTGGCCATCCTCTCCTGAGAATTAGAAGTTGTGGGCGATGCGATTGTTGTGTTAAATGGGACGAGTCGAGTGCTAGTTGGTTCGCTAAATAAGAGTGTGGCTATTTGATTCGTTAGTGGAACTAATAGAGGAATGACTCGATCTACTCAACAAATTGTAGATGAGATTGGATACTATTTATCAACTGGGGACATTGGTTTAACAGCTGGAACACGCTTTAAATGAAGGATTCAACCACCACTCACAAACGGATGCTTTGTCAAAACTTTTTCAGCTCATTAATATTTTCCTACTTGGCCACAAGTCATCTTTTCCTACTTTTTTTCCCATTGGAATAAATTGCAGAAGTCTTTAGGAATATGAGTTCGTTTGAACTATTAAGGTTATGTCCAGCGAGATATTTATGAATAAAAATAAATGAACTATATAAGAACCGTGTTGCATGTACAGAGGATCTGTGAAATAAAAATAAATGAACCTCTACAGACAACACACAACGGGAGGACGGGAAAAAATTTGAACTATTTTTTTAATCAGGTCAGTCCGACGTGGGACCCACCACCT